CCCACGAAGCCTCCACGAGGCCTCCTACGAGGGCCCCAAGGGGCCAAACTCATTGATGTCCAAGAAATTTTTGGCGTTCTCGCCTTCTCGGTTTCCCGACGCTCCCGGACGGCCCTGGAGGCCCCCAAGATCGCCACAAGACGGCCCAAGAGGCCTCCAAGAGGGCACCCAAACGGCACCCCTAGGGCCCCAAGACGGCCCAAGAGGCGCCCAAGATGGCCCAATCTCCTACATGGCCTAAGATAGACTCCAAGATACCTCCAAGACGGCCAAGATGGCCAACGATGACCTCTAAGATGCCTACAAGACGGCGAAGGTGGCCGCAAGATGTCTCCAGGACGGTCCAAAATGCACCTCAGGCGGCCTAAGATGGCCTCAAGATGCCCCAAGAGGCACCCCAGAAGCCCCTAAGACGGCCCAAGAGGCATCCAAGAGGTTCTCCAGGAAGGCCCGAAGAGGCCAAACTCGCTGATGTTCCCGAGGTTTTTGCAAGATGTTGGCATTTGCTTCAAAACGGCGTCCCGTCAGCCGAAGACGACCCATGAGGCTCTCAAGATTGCCCCACGATCACCCAAGAGGCCTCCAAGATGGCCCCAGGACGGCCCAAGACTCCCACGACGGCCCCGCAAGGGCACCAAGACGGCCCAAGAGGCCTCCAAGACGTCCAAACTGACTTTCAAGACGGCCCTGAAACGCCTCAAGGAGGCCCCAAGACGGCCCAGAGAGGCTCCCAAGACGGTTTCCGACGGCGCCAGACGGGCCAGGAACGCTGCAAGACTGTCAAAGAGGCCCCCACTCGGCACCCAAATGCCCCCAAGAGTCCCAAGGAGGCCTCAAAGAGGCCCCCAAGAGGCCCTCAGGAAGCTCCCAGGAGGCCCCAATAATGACCCACGAAGCTCCCAAGAGGTCTCCTCATCCTTCTTAACATCGTCATTTGTCCTTCCTCTCCTCATCCTCCTTTTCCTCTCCGACGTGTTCCCCGAAGGGCTTCCACAACGGCTGGGGGAACGCATGGCCCAATAGCGAGACCAAACTTTGCCCAAACGTTTGGCGACATAGGCATATCTTAAAAGGCAGGGGGAGGCGGTGATTCACAGTAGGCGTCCTCGATACAATGCTGCATTTTTCTTGGCCGCACAGCCTGTGGCGAGCACGCGCAGGAAGAAGGCAGAGGAGAGTAGCAGCGGAAAACCCTGACCTGCGCAAGCTATCTGAGACATACCTGGCTGCGGCCAAGTGAAACTGAGGGCACTCTGGATCTACGCGATGAGCCTGTCCAGGCAATGTGCCGATTCTTGAAGCGACGGGCAAGATAAGATATCACATAACAACACACGCATGTGGGATCGAGGCTTGACGGACGGCTGCGACAAACGTCTGCATTCTGAAAGATAGCCACCCTGCTTCGCATCCTCAAGTTCACCATACATACAGCTAGACCAATCGCACTTGCTGCTTGAACGAGTGCGCGAAGCTCAACACACTGACGCTCTCGCTCTCTCTCTCTCTCGCTGTAGCTATCCCTGTCTCTCATTCCCTCCCTCCCACTCTGTCTATACATATAGGCAAAGCAGGATCGCCTCTCATTCGTGTGTCCGCTCAATCTCTCTCGCTCCCTCGATCTCCCTCTCTCTGTACATACGAACACTTACGCCTATATAGGAAAGTCGCAGCACCATCATCATCATCATCGGCAGCAGCATCGTCATCGTCATCATCATCGTCATCGTCATCATCACCACCATCATCACCACCATCAACACCAGCCTCAGCCTCAGCATCAGCATCACCATCATTCTCAACATCACCATCCCATCCCAATCCCCATCCCAATCCCCGTCTCCATCACCATCATCAGCAGCACCAACAACTTGACCATCCCCATCCCAATCCCCATCCCCACCATCAGCATCGGCATCATCATCATCATCACCATCAGCACCAACATCAGGATCACCATCATCACCATCATCACCATCATCACCAGCATCATCAGCTTCATCGCCATCACCAACGTCGTCGTCATCACTAGCACCGTCGTCATCTATCATCAACATTATCAGCATCATCACGATCGTCATCATCGTCATCATTCTCATCACCATCATCCTCATCATCACCAGCATCATCAGCACCGCCAGCATCACCATCATGAGCATCATCAGTTCCATCAGCATCATCGTCATCATCGTCAGCATCCTCATCCGCATTCACTTCCCCATCGTCGTCACCATTCACGTCGGCATCATCGTCGTCAGCGTCTACTTCAGCGTCATCAACATCGTCGCCATCACCGACACCACCGCCATGATCACCACCATCAGTATCAGCGGCATCAGCAACATCCTCACCATCATCCCCAATATGCTACTCGTCCTCATCATCAGCATCACCACCACCATCATCATCACCATCATCACCGTCAGCATCGCCATCAACATCATCAGCACCACCACCAACACCACCACCACCACCATCGTCATCATCAGCATCGTCGTCGTCGTCGTCGCCGCCTCCGTCGTCGCCATAATCATCACCATCAACACCGCCATCATCATCACCATTATCATCATCATCACCACCATCATCCTAATCATGTTAATCATCACCATCACCGTCGTGATCGCCACCACCATCATCAGCAGTATCATTAACACCATCATCAGCACCAATACCACCACCACCATCATCATCGTCATTAGCATCATCATCAAATCAGCAGTATCCTCCTCCTCCTCCTCCTCGTCATCATCATCAGCATCAGCATCATCATCATCCTAATCCCCCTCGCCCACCTCATCACCCTCTCCCCGTCGCCCCGCCTGGATTCCTCACCTTTCTCTTGATCCACCTACTTATGTATATCGCGTCCCGCCGTCCCTCCATCGATCTCCACGACGTATGCGGGTGTATGTTCAAGGACACTCGCACTGGCAATGTCACATTCCCACAATGCCAATCTGACCGCGGCGAGCTTCGTGCCAGCACGGGAGGGCCGGGCAGAACAACGAACGCCCGACCGGGAACCCAGAAGGAGCCAAGAGGGGATCAATGGGAGACTATTGGAGAACCGAGGGGAAGCCCCGATGGAGACGCAAGCCGAATGAAGTCCGCCGATGAAACGCAGATTCATGGGAGAAAGCGCGGCCACCCTCAGCAGCGTTTGGTGTCGCAACTTCAAGGGAAGCACGATGGGGCCAAGAGGGAGACGGGCTTCGCGCGTAGAGAACATGCGCTGGACTGGAAGTTCTGAGGCGGGCAAGATCGCCAGACCTCGTATCCCATACTCCGAGTTGCTCGATGATCTTTGGGGGGGTGCATCGCGTGGTGGCGTGGCAATGGGCTGACCTTCGCAGGACACTGGGGTGCGGATCGCAGTAACTGGTCATCGCTCGGACATCCATTTCCTGTGTTTTTTCGGCTTCGTGCGTGGTTTTTTTCGCCAGATGATCAAGGATGCTCCTCGATGGTCCTCGCCGAAGGAAAAATCCACACGTCCGAGCGATGCCAAGCAATGGGCTGACTTTCGCAGGACATTGGGTTGTGGATCGCAGTGAAGATGAGATGGGCGCGGTGCGCGGTGTGGGGGGGGGGGGGGGACGGCCCGCGGGGCGGGGTGGCGTGGAGGCAGCTTGGCGTAGGGCTTCGGCCACGAGAACATCCACGGAAAACCTGTGGCCTGGAGCGCAACAGTCTCGAAGGATTCAAAGGTTGGGAGCCCTACTGGCCATCGCTCAGACGTTCATTCTCTGTGTTTTTTTTCGGTTTCGTGCGTTGTTTTTCCGCCAAATGATCAAGGATGCTCCTCGATGGTCCTCGCCGAAGGAAAACTGCACACGTCCAAGCGATGCCAAGCCTACGGATCTAGTCGCAAGCCCCTTTGCAATAAAGAAGCCCAAGGCACCCTGGCAACACAAGCGGTTTCTTGGTGCGCGTCCCCTGTAGTGGAAGGAGGGAACGGCGTCCTTTCCAATGTACTCAATGCCGTGCACACGAGGTCTCTATTGAATCCGCCGCCGCCCCTGGGGGGCCAACAGGCTGCGAGGCGGAGGTGTGGCAGAGGTGTTCCATTTCCCTGCGACAGTTTCAGTTCCCATGTGAATCTGTGATCTTTTCTAGTTCCACTGATGCAATGTTTGAAGACCGCGCAAGGGTGGGGGGGGTGGGCGGGGGCTAATAGCGGCCGCTGGCCCTCCCAGCACTCCGTAGTACGAATTCCTGGGGGTGCCCTGGGACGCATGTACGCCCCCGCTCCTCAAGCCACAACCCAGTTCGCGCTCGCGAGGCCACCCTCCCTTGTGTCAGTCCCTCGTAAAGTAGCACGCCGTGGTGCTCACTAGGCCACGCCCCCTTGTAAAGTACATGAGATTCGCGTTCCGCAAGCCACTATCCCCAGTGAATGACAAGTCAGATGCCCCAGGCTTGCGCAGCGGAGGCCACACACCTCCTGTAAACTGCAGCGAGCTTGCGTCCCTGAGGCCACAATCCATACTATGGATTGGCAGTCCCGAGGCCGCAATCCTTCCAAAGCATGCCCGAGCCGCGCCACCCGAGCCACAATCTCCAGCACACTTCTGCAGGCTCGTGATGCCTGCGTCCCCGGAGCCAAGACCGTGGCAGTGCTGCGGAGTGGCGCACCCGAGGCCACGCACTCGCCCCACGGAAGCTGCCCAGAGACGCCACCGCCTCTCCGGAGCAGAGGAACTCGCGAGATATGCGTCCAGGGATCGCGCTTCGCCCCCCCCCCCCCCTCGGGGATCTTCTGACCTGGGTCAATCCAGACCGGGGTCAGCAGGAAACCAAAAACTGCAATGCAAGACAAAAAAACTGCAGTGCAGATCTTCGCAAACCCGGATCCTGCAGGACCTGGTGCCCTGGCTGACCCCCGTTTGCATTGACCCCCGTCTCAAGGCTCCCGACCCCCCCCCCGCCCGTCGCTTCCCGGTTCCCGCGAGTTTGGCTCGGCGCTCGAGGCCGCGAGTCCCTGCAGAGAGCCGGGTGCCGCGCGCTCCCGCGGCCTCGAGCCCTGGTGAGCAGTGGAAGCGCGCTCCGGAGGCCACCATCCTGCGTGAGTCAGTGGGGACGCGGGCAGGCAGCCAGCCAACAAGCTGCCAAAGCGAGTTCCCAACTCTCACTTTAGACAACAAAGCCAGTCAGCCGAGTTGCCAGCCAGCCGACCGACAGGAGCACCAAGCAATGACCAACCGAGCACGGCCATGCGGCAGAGGGCGAAGCCCTTCAGACAACCTGCTCCAGAAGCGAGTGGGTCCACAGGCTTCGCAAGGTGGCACGCCGGGAGGGCGATGGAGGGCTTCGCGGAGACGAAACACTGAAACTGGATCGCTTGCGCATCCCTCATACACCTGTGTACTAACGATCACGTTGAATGCTGGCTGCGCCAGGGCACTTATAAGAGGAATAGGCTAGAGGTGAAACAAATTGGTGGAGCCACTCACGAGCTTCAGCTGCCCTTCGGGTCATACAATGCTGTACCTGCAGATGAAGGGGGCGGAGCGGGAATGTGGAATCGTCATCCCCAAACATGCATGACACGGGCGACCAATCAGGCCTCAACCGATGACGAACAAGATAACATATGCATGCGGCCAATCGTGACCGTCTTGGTCTTTCTTGGTTGGTGAGCGAGTTGCTGCGTCGGCTGCCGCCCCTGAGGATGCACACATCGATCACCACCCTGGCAGCTATTGCAAGCTGAGCCCCAAACGGAGCGGGGCACCCTCATGATCAGCATCCTCTCCCCCTCGCCTCCTCTCTCTCCAGTTCCTCTTCTTCCTCCTCTTGCTACACTTCCACTACTCCCCCCCCAGTCCTCTTCCCCCTCCTCCCCCTTCACCTCTACCTATCCCTCCTCTTATCCTTCTCCCCCCTCTCTCCTCATCCTGCTCCCCCTTTTATCCTTCTCTACACCCTTCTGTTCCATCTCCATCTTGTTTTCCTCGGCCTACTGCTCCACTTACTCCTCTGCCTCTTGCTACTATTCCACCCCTCCTACCTCATCCTTTTGCCTCTCCTCGTCCTCCTTCTATTCCTCCTCCTCCTCCCCATTATCATCCTGTCCCCCTCCTTCTCTTCCACCTCGCTCCCGCTCCCCCCATCCACCTCTGCATACCCCTCCTACGATTCTTGTTCCCACTCTCTCCTCTCCCTGCCCCCCCTCCTCACGCCACTGGTTCGCCCCCCCCCGCCTTCTTCTCCTCCTCCTCCTCCTCCTCCTCCTCCTCCTCCCTCCTCCTCATCCTGCTCCTCCTCCTGCCCCCCTGCTCCTCCCTTCACCTCCGGACTGCTAGACCTCCGTCTCCTCCCTCTCCTCTCTATCCCTCCCCCTCCTGCCTCATCCTCCTTCGCTAATCCTCCTTCTCTCCCTCCTCCTTCTCCTCCTCCTCCTCCTCCTCCTCCTCCTCCTCCTCCTCCTCCTCCCCATGGAGATCATAATCACCAGCATTGCCAACTCGTCACAATCCTCATCGTTACCATCACCACCATCAGCAGCATTAGCAACGAGAGCACCGCCGTCATCATGATCACCCTTATCAGGATAAGCATCATGATCATCATCATCACGATCACCACCAGCATGATCACCATGATCACAAACACGAGCATGATGATGATGATGATGATCATCATCATAATCATAAGCAAAAGCAAAAGCATCGTCATACTCGTCGTCATCGTCGCTATCGTCGTCATCGTCGTCGTCACCATCACCATTACCATATCCATCTTCACCATCATCATCGTCACCACCACCATCATACTCATCATCAGTATCACCATCATCATCAGCAGCATCATCAGCATAATCAACAACACCATCATCACTATCATCACCACCACCACCACCATCACCATCATCATCATCATCATCATCATCATCATCATCATCATCATCATCATGATCAGCATCATCATCATCACTATCATCACTATCATCATCCTCATCATCATCATCCTCATCCTCATCCTCCTCCTCATCACCATCACCATCACCATCACCATCACCATCACCATCACCATCACCATCATCATCATCATCATCATCATCATCACCACCACCACCACCACCACCACCACCACCACCACCACCACCACCAACCACATCATCATCATCATCATCATCATCATCACTCATCAGCATCAGCATCAGCAGCACATCAGCATCATCCATCATCATCCATCATCATCATCATCATCCTCATCATCATCACATCATCATCATCATCATCATCAAATCATCATCATGAATGAGAGAACGTGATTCCACCGCCGCTTACTGTGGAAAATTGCCAACCTTTTCTTCCCGAACCCGGGGGTCTCCCCAACCCCCCTCTCCGAAAATCCCCCCCCCCCCTGCTGGACCCCCCCCCCGCTTTCCCTCCCCGCAAAACCCCCCCCTACCCCTAACCCCCCCCCCCCCCTCCCCCTCGAAAACCGGGGGGGTGTCACTACCGGTTCGAACCCCTCCTCCCCCCCCCCCCCGGACCGGAAAACCGTGGGGTCACTACCGTTGGAACCCCCCTCCCCCCCCCCCTTCGAAAACCGGGGGGGGTCACTACCGGTTCGACCCCCCCCCCCCCCACGCACCGCCAGCAAACGACTCCCGGTCCCTACCACCGCTCGCATCACATCCCCCACTGTTGTTCCCAGCACCACTGTCCTCACCACCACTGTCCCCACTGGTTCCACTACCGTCCCTATTGTCCCCACCAGTGCCCCCACCACTGTCGCACTGTCCCCACTGTTCCCACCACTGCTCCCACCACGGTTCCACTCTCCCCACTGTCTCCACGGACCCAACCACTGCCTATTCCCACTGTCCCCACTGTCCCACTGACTCCTCCGCTGTCCCACTGAAAATCCAACTGTTCCCACCACTGTCCCCACTGTCCCCACCACTGTCCCCACTGTACCTCTGTCCCCTTGTCCCACCGCCGTCCTCGCCACCACCTTTACCACTGTCCCCACCACCATTGTACCCTCCACTGTCCCACTGTTTCCACCTCATTCCCACTGTCCCCACACCACTGTCCCCACCACCACCGTCACCACCACTGTCCACTGTCCCCCCCTGTTCCCACCATTGTCCCCACCACTGTCCCCACCACTACCGTCCCCACCACTGTCCCACTGTCCCACTGTCCCCACCACTGTCCCGCTGTCCCCTCACCACTGTCCCCACCAACACCGTCCCCACCACTGTCCGCACCCCCACTCGGTTTTCGAGGGGTGGGGGGGGAGGGGGGTTCGAACCGGTAGTGACCCCCCCCCCTTTTCATGATGAACTGGGGGGGGGGGGGAGGGGTTCGAACCGGTAGTGACCCCCCCCGGTTTTCCGGAGGGGGGGGGGGGAGGGTTTCGAACCGGTAGTGACCCCCCCCGGTTTTCCGCCAGCAGCGGCAGAACACGCTCTTTCTCATCATCATCATCATCATCATCATCATCATCATCACTAACATCGTCATCATCATCAGTGTCATCAATACCAACCGTATCCTCACCACCACCCTCGTCATCATCATAACCCTTTTCCCTACCCCTCCTGCTAGCCTCCTCCTCCTCCTCATCCTCCTCCCTCTTCTCCACACGCTCATGTTCCCGAACTTGTCCTCCTTTACCTACTCCTTTTGTGTTATCCCTCTCCACCTCCTCCTCCTCATCTTGAGGAGGAGGAGATGGAACTACGACGAGGCGAGACAGACGACTCGGCCCGGCCAGAGAAGCCTCGAGCTTCACGGGCATCGGGTGCCATCGCTGACTCAGAGCGTTCCACAACGATCTGAGAGGCTTCTGGACAGCCCTGGAAAGGTGTACAGTCGGGCCCCTGAAAGAAGGAACGCTAGATCAGGAACGGAGCCCCTGTTTTGACCCCTAAAAGCGCCTCCGTGCCCGAGGAGGGCGAGAGGGACAGCAGTGGAAGAACCTGGGGAACGTCGAGCCCCTTCCGAACCCAAACTGCTCCTTACTTCAGCGTCTCGACTGCATGCTCGCCCTGGGCCTGCCTCTCGACGGCCTGCGCGGACGTCGCGGGTCGGCGCCGGCTGCAACTTTTGCGGCGCCTCCCGCGCCGACCCGCCGAGCTAGGAAGATGCCCCGCAGGTCTCCGAGACAGTGTGCGCAGGCCGTCTTCGATGGAGTCGGGGCGTTGACCTAAGGAACCCTAAATAAGGAACGAGGCCCGTTTTTTCCATAAGTTAACCTTCGATTTCCTGTCGAAACATAAGGGAAGCCTGAGGCAAGCTGTGAAACACTTAAGGAACGCGGAGCCCCTCCCCAACGAAAAGGGTTCCTTCTTCAGGGCCCCGACTGTACTCCAGGAAAGGTGAAGGGGGAGGGAGGGAGGGAGGGAGGAAGCGTACAGTCAGACTTTAGTGGACAGGGCACGCGAGAGGACACAAGACCCTTCCGAGGGCCACTTTGCCGCAGGAATGCAGGAGGCACGGGTCGCGAGACACAGGACACAAGGGTACCCTTGATTTGGCAAGGTCGACCTACTAATCCGGGCCGACTGTAGCGGGTGAGCCCACCCTCTGACGTCAGGTGCGGCTGTTCTCTCGAAGAAGCGTCCCCCTTCTCCTCACCCTCCTCCTCTTCCTCCTGCTCCTCGACCTCCAGCGCCTCCATCGCCTCCCCATCCTCCTCATCCTTCTGCTCTATGGGCTACAGGCAGGAAGAGTGACCCTAGGCAAGAACGACCTCTGGTGCGCGGCTTCAGAACGCCATGGGAGGGGAGAGGCCAGACCCACATGTGCAAGCCGCTGCTGTCGCATCTGAAGGGCCCAGGGAGACACAAATCAATGGACACACATCCTATTTTCTGGGTTTCGTCTCTCCCCCCACTTCCACTATTTTCTCCTACTGTCCTGGGGATCGACGATGATCTGTGTGTGTGTGCGTGTGTTGTTTCCCCTCCTGAGCATCGCCTCTAACGATCGGAGGACCCCTGGTGGGCCCGCACGGCGCACAACAGAGACCACCCTGGCCCAGGGACACTCCCGCGTGCACTTGACTAGGTCGACGAGCTCTATTCAAGGGGCCCAAGGACATACAAATCAATACACACAAATCCCAGGATTCCCATTGGTTTTTCACATATTTTCTGGGTTCTCGTCTTCACCCCCACTTCCCATATTTTCCTGGGAGTCGACGATTAATTGTGTCTGTGCTGATTCCCCCTCCTGATCTATCCATATCCATCCACTGCCCCAGGCTTGGCCCATCCTGGGCCCAGGATGGGCGAAGCCTGGGGCAGTGAACATGTATAGATCTCGCCGTCCTATCGACTCCTCATCTTTGGACGCCCGAAATGGATACAGAACACATTGGCACGATGCACAACAACAGATGCTGTCCCACACAGACGGCGGCCGCTGTTGGGCAGGCGACCTTCTGTCTCAAATGGGTAATTAACGACCGCGGCGACGCCGACAACGAACCCCCTGTTCAGAAGGAACAGGAACTGCTGTTGGTCGGGCGGGTGCTCATGCGGGGTGGCCCACATCTCGCCGTCGCTCGGACGTCCATTTCCCGTGCATTTTTCGGTTTCGTGCGTGTTATTTTTGGTCGTTGGTCGTAGATGGTCCAAGATGGTTCTCGCCGAAAAGAAAATGCACACGTCCAAGCGATGCCAGGACATGGGGGGGTGACGAGATGGGCCCTGCAGGCTGCCCAGTGGGGCCCCTTTGGGGCCCCTGCGGGCTCCCTGCACGGCCCCCTTGGGGCCCTTTTCGCCCCCCCCCCCCCCCCCCCGGCTGGCCATCGCTCGGACGTGCATTCCCTGTGCTTTCTTCGGTTTCGTGCGTTGATTGTTCGCCACGTGATCAAGAGTGCTCGTCGATGGTCCTCGCCGAAGGAAACATGCACACGTCCGAGCGATGCCAAGCAGGTGGGTGACCCCCCATCGCCCTCCGCCCGATTAGGACCCGAACAGGGACCGACCGTCCCGGCATTCCTATAGTCCTACCACGAAATGTTCTTAGAACCCAAACATGTTCTGAGAACAAAAACCATGTTCTTAGAACAAAGACCCGATGTGTTAAAACAAAACAATATCAACCAGAAATGTTCTAAGAACACTCCGTGGAAGCCACAAAAGGTTCTCAGAACATTGTTTGGCAGGGCTATAGGCGAGCCAAGACGCGTCGCCACTGCTTGAAAGACTCTGCACCCATCGCTTCCCTATCTTGGACGCCCGAGTTACCCCTGATGATTCGGGGCCCTGGACGCCCGAAATATCCGGGGTAACTCGGGTCCGGGGTAACTCGGGTTCGGAATCCCGAAAAAGGAACCCGAGTTATCCCTGACCCGAGTTACCCCTGAGGATTCGGGGCTCTGACTATCCAGTTCGACCGTCCCGATCACGGACGAGGCCGGAGCCCGCGGCCTCGTCAGCGGCTCCGCCGCGGCCTCGCCCCAGTGCAGGGGCGCCTGGCGCCGCCCGCGAGGGCGCCGAGCGCCCGCGGTGCGCGCCGCACGGCCGCCGCTGCACCCGGCATGCTACAGTCGGGGCGCTGACCTAAGGAACGATAAATAAGGAACGAAGCCCCTTTTTATCCCAAGGAATAACGCAGAAGGAACGATAAATGACAAATAACGCATAAGGAACTGTAAATGACGCATGCAAGCCTAAGGAACGACCGAGCCCCTTTTGAAAAGTAAGTGTTCCTTATTCAAGCCGCTCACTGTACCTCACGCGCTCCTTCCTCTCTCCGCCAGCCCTCCACCCCGCTCCGAGCAGCAGCGTCTTCGTGACATTTGACGGCTCGATGGCCGCAGCGCGAGCTTCCTGGAGCTGCGCCGGACCCCCTCAGCACACCCCTTCCTCGGCGCCTCGGGGGGGGGCGTCGGGAAGAGGCCCGAAGCCGACCCCCAGAAACATCCGCGTAACTATGTCCTTCCTCGCGTCGCTGCTCCCTCTGCCCTCCCTCGCGTCGCTGCTCCCTCTGCCCTCCCTCGCGTCGCTGCTCCGCTGGCTACCACAGCCCCCCCTCTATCCTCCCTCGCGTCGCTGCTCCCTCCCTCCACCTCCATCCCTCCGCCTCCCTCCCTCCCTTCACCTCCATCCCTCCATATCTATCTCCATGCATGGCCCGCCATCCTTTCTCGGACACCTACTTTGCTACCCCACCTCCGCAGAAGGGGAAGGCATCGTCAACTTCAGAGTCCTCTAAGTGCAGCGGCGTCTCGGAAGAAAGCTGCTGAGTTCCAGTAACATCTTCCTCCAACGGAAGGCTAGTAACGGTGAAGCAAGGTGGCTCACACTTCACGGCCTTACATACGAACTGCTTCACTCAGCTGATTGAGCGTCATAGTGGTTGGCCTTATGTATGTTTGGATTAATAGTGTTGCTTCTTGCCCATCTCGCTTCAGGTTGCTGGATCTTCATACGACTCCAAGTACCTCTATGCCGAATGTTTGCTTTCGTCCACTAGATGTTGATGTTAGTAGTCTCCATATAGATTTGCCTCTGGAAGCTCCCCAAT